GGGGCAGGGAGCTTTTCTCTTCCCTCCTAGGTTCTTTGGCCGGTTTAATAATTAAATTGACAAAAGGCAGAGTAACAAGAGAATAATAAAGTTAATTTCATATGTATAAGAGCTCATAGAAATATCAGACTCAAAGAAATGACTGAAGCAGTCAGCTTTTTTTTTTTTAAAGATTTATTTATTTATTAGAGGGGAGGCAGTGCGGGCACATGCGCACACGCATGTGCGAGCAAATGGGGGGAGGGGCAGAGGGAGCTGGAGAGAATCTCAAGCAGACTCCCCACTGAGCCCCATGCGGGGCTCCATCCGATGACCCTGAGATCATGACCTGAGCTGAAATCAAGAGTCAGAGGCTTAGGGGTGCCTGGGTGGCTCAGTCGGTTAAGCATCCGCCGTTAGCTCAGGTCATGATCCCAGGGTCCTGAGATGGAGCCCCACGAGGTGCTCCCTGCTCAGCAGAGAGCCTGCTTCTCCCTCTCCTCCCTACTCATGCTCTCGGTCACTATCTCTGACTCTCTCTCTCAAATAAATAAATAAAATCTTAAAAAAAAAAGAGAGAGAGAGACTTACCCGACTAAACCAACCAGGCACCCCCAAGCAGGCAGCTTTTATATCTTTTAGACAAATAATAAATTTGTGAAAAATTGACAAGAGAAAAAGTTTGGGCTTGGGGTAGTAAATTAGTGAGGAAGCAACAAGGTTTGCTTACACAGTCTTCTCAGCTCTAACTTCCCATCTCTGGTTGTAAGGATGTCTCTCTACCTCCTGCTAAGGGAGGGTAGCTTTCACATCAGAGATTTATTTTCTGCTTTCAGGAGGAAAAGGAGGTTCCAACTGTCCTTCTTGCACTGGTTATTTCTCAAGAAACTCTAATTAAAAATAATTCATATGCAAAGTGGTATATTTTGGGGTGGCATACTCTGCCCCCCCTCACTAACCAGTTAGTTTACATGTTGACAAATTGCCAAAGTCCCTCTTCTGAATGGTTGGAAATTGGACACCTGTTCCTTTAAGAAACATTTCTTGTTCGAGTGAGTCATCTCTGTCCTCTCACTTTGGGAATCAAATTTATTTTCTAGATCTTTCTGTTGAGGAATTTTCTTCCTTGCTTGCTGAAGACCAGATTCTGCTCTTGTCTCTTGGGATTTTTTTTTTTTTTAAGCCCTGCTGAATTCGCTACTAAATACTGAATGTGGAGAACAAGAAGTGAATCCGCTGAGGGAGGCAGAAAGTGGAGTTATCGAAAGTAAAAGAAAACTTCTTCCTGGAGGTGTTTCTATCCCCACCCTCCTTCAAGGGACTTCTCTCTGGTTGGGTGGACAGGACTTAAGAGTCTGGGTGAAATTGGGCAGTTCAGGGGTCTTGGCCCCGGGCACTCTGTGATGTCGCTGGGACAGGGTGGAGCAGGTGAGTGCCTGGTGCAGAATGGCTTCTGAATACCATGTTTCCGGGACTCACTCAGTGGGCAGAGTGGGGACACCTCAGGATCCTGCCAGGGCCCCACATCTCTGCACCACAGCAGAGGGCCTTGCTACATTTTAACTCTGAGGGATCTCCAATACTCTGCTACATTTCTCTTCTTAGTGTCTCCCCTGCTGCTTCAAATACAGACACAGTGTCTCTCTCCCACGCGATCAGTTTGGAGATTCCAGCAGACATCCTTTACCTACTTCATTGGTTTTCTTTCCCATTTGGGCAGAGGGTTGAGTTAATCTCTCAGATGCCGCCCACCGCCTCATTGGCACTTTCTTCCATCTCCCCCCCCACTTCCTACTCCTCCTCCACTGCTCCCCCCCCCACCCCGCCTCCCAAAAGCTCTCTAAATCTTTTGATAACTATCCCTGAATTGATCTGTATCTTTGCAAAATGTATCGTTGTTTTGTGTGAACACACTATTTTTTTAACTATGAGCTGGAACAAGTAAGTAATTTCTCTGTGCTTCTGTTTCCTCAGCATCATATGGGATTCGTACTACCTCATGAGGTGGTCCTGAGGATTTAATGAGATAATATACGTTAACCACTTGCAACAGTGACTGGCGCTACTAAATTCTCAGTAAGTACTTGCAATTATTACTATTTATTAGTATTATTTGGATTGTATTTTGCTCATTCTGCTTCTTTTTTTTTAAGGGAGCACTCTGGCACTTGCAGTTCTATGTTTTGCCAGGTCCCACTTTCTAAGCCCTATGGGGTATTAATGCTGGACAGTCTTCACAATCCTCTATAAGGACGACATAAGAACTTGCCCACCAATCCTTGGTCTGATCCCACTTGCAAACCTTGACCAATCTGTTGGGTAGAAAGTGGGTATCATGTTGCTTTATTTTGCATTTCTCAGATTATTAAAGTGTCTGAGCATCACCTCGTACACTTTGGCTTTGTAAGCAAGTCCCTGTCAAGGAACTCCATGTTCAGACCCATTGTCTCTTTACAGGCTTTCTTCTTCTCGTCGATTTGTAGGAACTGTTTGGAGGTCATAGATATTGCTCCTCCCGTGGTAGGTTCTGGGAACACAGACATGAAAGATGTGCTCCTGCCCTTGTGAAGCTCCAGCCCAGCACAGGAACCGGTCACAAAACAGTGGAATGAATGCTTGGGGCGATGCTCAGGAAGAACATCAGGGAATCCCTTCTGGGTTAGGATTTAACTCCTTGTGTTGCTGTGTTCTCACTCAGACTTGATGGGCAGAATGAAGTGGGAGTGAAGGGCATTGATAGTACTTTACCTGGCCCTCTGCAGGTGAAGAGGCACTTCCAGACACCTCCTTTAATGCTCTCAGCTCTAAGGTGGGTCTCAGCCTTCTGAGAGCTTATATTCTATTTGGGGAAAGAAAAAAGACAATTTCAAAGAAGAGCAGTGTTTGATTTTTTTTCTTTCTACTTTGAACATCAGAAAACATTTCAGTTGATTCACAGCAAAAAGGCTGGGCTAAGTGTGTTTTGTGCAGTTATGTCTCCAGGGCCCAGACCATGCTGAGGACCCTAGGATTTGTTTGTCTCTTTGGTAAGGTCATCTGGGCCTTTCAGGAGAAAGGGCTTTGATTCTAGAGTTTTCCAGGCTGCTGAGGGTAGGATATGGTGGGCTCAGGGCCACCATATTCTAGTGTAGATGGGAAACCATGAGAGTTAGTTTAGCAGACCCTCTGAGAGCCATGATGAGGACCCCACAGTTTTCAGATCTCTCAGAAGTGCTCAATCAATATTACTGAATGAAAACATTCAAGTCTTCATAATGAACCCAGAAGAATCTGTAAATTTCTGAAATACGGAATGAAGAGGCTCTTAATTACCATCCAGTCCAACTTCCTCATTTTGCAATGTGGTAAAAGAGGCCCCAAAGGCAAAATGACCCACCCAAAGTCACACAGCCAGAGCCAAAGCTCAGGTGGCCCAGTCCCCCCGCCCCGCCCCCCGCCCCGAACACCCTGTCCCCTGTTCCTCTGGATTCTTGCATTCTGGGAAGAGGTGGCTGCTCAGGCGCAAGCCGGCCTTACTCAGCCTAAATGAGTCAGTCGTTTCGTAAACAGGAAGTAGAGCGAGCGGTGCCTATTCTTCCTCAGCCCTTCACTCTTGTTTCAGTCGTGGCCCTTCTCTCTTGTTTTAGTCGCTTCAGGAGAAAACAGGCCTGTGAAGAAGCTGCTGCCACTGTGAGGGTCCCAGGATTGGCTTCTTTGGTAAGGTTGGTTGGGCCTCCTGGGAGAAAGACCTTTGATTCTAGAATTTTCTAGGCTGCTGAGGGTGGGAAAACCGTAAGAATTAGTAGGCCCTCTGAGAGCCATGGCGAGAGCCCCATAGATTCCAGAGCTTAAGGCCCTCTCCAGCTTAGGTGAGGTTTTTCTGGAATGCTCCAAGTATGACTGTTTGTACAGAGACCTTATCCTTAATTGAATCGTGGCCTAAGCAGGGGTAGAGTTGGGACTCTGGAAGCGGTGACACCATTTAAATCTGGGCTCCGGCACATACCACTCTGATTCGTCAGGTTCTATGGGGTCACTCTCTCTGCCGTAGTGGATTTATTAAGAATACTTCGGGGCATAAATTTATTATTAAAAATATTAAAGATACTTATTGTATAGTACAAATCTATTTATATAGAGTTATGATTTAACAGATATCATATAACTGAAAGTAAAAGAAAACTTCCTGGCGGTATCGCATCCCCATCTCTTTCTTCTGCCTTGTATGCATTATATATGAAAATATTCAAATTTATATCTTTTATGTATGTATATGAACACATTATATATATGTATTTACACACACACGCACACGAATATAAGTGGAAGGAAACCACTAAGTGTAACAAAAGAGTTACTTCTAAATGATGAGTTTCTAAGTGATTTTTCTTTTTCTTTTTATACATTGCTGTACTTTCTCTAAGGAATAAGTGTGACTTTTACTATTTTAGGATCAGAAAAATACAACAATAAATGCTCTTTTATTTATTTTTTAAGATTTTATTTATTTATTTGAGAGAGAGACACAGTAAGAGAGGGAACACAAGCAGGGGGAGTGGGAGAGGGAGAAGCAGGCTTCCCGCGGAGCAGGGAGCCCGATGCGGGTCTCAATTCCAGGACCCTGGGATCATGACCTGAGCCGAAGGCAGACGCTTAACGACTGAGCCACCCAGGCGCCCCAATAAATGCTCTTTTAAAAATATTACTGTAACAAAGTTTCTAGCCCATGATCTTATGCAGTAAACCTCGGTGCCATAAAACAAGAACCATCCTGCGGTCCGTGTACCCATGGATCTCAGTGCCCAGAGGTGGCCCTTTGTCAAAGGTATAAAATTCTGTTGCAGCTAATTGCTTTCCAGGCACTATGACTAGAGAGGTGTGTGACGTAAACAAACCAAGACTGAATATTATGTCATAGTGTGTCCTGTAAAACCTGGACCAGAAAGAGGCCTTGCCAACATTTTCCCTACTAACTCTCCATTTTCATGTGATGCAGAAGTCATTTAGAAAGCATTTTCTAATTACTGCAAAAATAATAAAATGAATGAGATGAGGCAGCTACATAGGACAGGAACCAAGTGCCAATCATGTTATAACCAAACTCATATCATCCTGGCCTTGGATTGTATTATTATTGTTGTTGTTATTATTATTATTATTATATACTGTCAGAAAATGCTATTAAATATGTAACAAAAGACTTAAAGAAGGCTTATTCCTTTGGGCTCAGTAATTACTACTTCTAGGAAATTATTCTAAGAAAATAATCAGAGGTGTACATGGAGATTTACATCTTAAGATCTTATTCTAAATATAAGCAGAAACTGGTTACATACATTATGGTCCAATCCTATGATTTCATACTTTACAAATTTTAAAATCTGTGCTGTAGAAGAAAAAAGTGACGGTATCAAGATGTACTTACAATATTACCAGTGAAAATTCCACTTATACCTCAGAAATGTGGTATGATACAATATGAGGGAAAAAAAAAATATATATATATATAAAATGCTTGGTAGGAAAGATAATAAAATATTATTAGGTGATTATCTTTGGATGGTAGAATTATAGGTAATTTTTATTTTCCTTTTTATCTTTTCTGTACTTTCTAAAATGAATACAATAAGCGTTGTTATCAGAAAAAAATATCGAGGGAAAAAGATTCCACTTTCGTTTGATAATCATTTAATTCTGTAAAAGGAGATTTTAACAGAGGTTAGAACTGATTTAAAATTTTAAGGACATTGGAGCTAATGGTGCTAAACAGGGCTGGGCCTAGTTTAGATCCTTTCCTCCTTATGAATGAAAATGGGTCTTTAAGTAATGATTTTTGGGGCGCCTGTGTGGCTCAGTTGGTTAAGCATCTGCCTTCGGCTCAGGTCATGGTCCCAGGCTCCTGGGATCGAGCCCCGCATCGGGCCCCCTGCTAGGTGGGGAGCCTGCTTCTCCCTCTGCCTCTCCCACTGCTTGTGCTCTCCTGCTCTCTTTGTCAAATAAATGAATGGAATCTTTGAAAAAAAAAAAAAGTAGTGATTTTCATCTACATATAAGTCCACGTAGAATAAGTAATACATGCACCTCCAAAAAATTTAAGCGGCAAGCCTGACTTTTCTGCCGCCCCGGCGTCCACTCCATCACGGGGCTTCTAGTTCCTCTCCTCCCACGCAATCACTGAAACAGCTTCCTGTGTGTTGGTTCTGTTCAAAGATCTTCCGTAAATACACAAATCCACGCACCACTTCATAAGACCTTGTATAGATCACACAAATCCAATCATGGTGGTCTTCCTATTCTTTTTAAATATCTGAGTAAGGTTTCATTGAACTTCTGATACGGATAAGGAGTGGTTTCTGCCCCTTTGTTCTGTTGAGCAACACTGCCATGAGCAGCCCCGTACCTGTTTTTAAGTACAGCACGTTTAAGCTAATGTTGGAGAAACTCGTGGAAGTTAAATTGTGGGGTCATTTTATATTTTGACCGATAGGGGCCAAATTACCCACCTACCTATTTTTTTTCCACCATCTCAAAACACTGGGTATTGCAAGTTTTGTGCTTCACCAATTTGGTAGTTGAAAAATGGTCTTTTGTAATTTCAGTTTGCCTTTTTTTTTTTTTTGGTGAATGAAGTTGAACATCTTTTCAAATGTTTAAAACCATTGGTTTTAAAAAATAAAGCCACTGGTACTTACTTTTCTCTGAACTGTGTACTTACGATGTTTACCTGTTTATGCATTGGATCGTTGGTCTTTATCCTTTTTTTAAAAAAATGACTTTAAGAAAATCAGTCCTTTTTCCCCCAAGTGCAAGATTTATTTATTTTTAAATTTTGTCTGGCTTATTTTGGCAGATTATTTTAGTTATTATTTAAGGACATTTATCAACCTTTCTGTAATGGCTTCCAGGTTTTCTGTTGTACTTAGAAAGGTTATTTACCAATGCATGATTATTTTAAACAATTCTCCAATGTTTCTTTCCTTAGTATTTTAATTTTCAGGTTTGAGGCTTTGATCCATCTGCAGCTTATTTTAATGTGAAGAGTTCAGTTATGATCCATTTCAGTTTGTTCTAGAAGTCTGCCCAATTGTTCTAACAGCACGTGTGGAAAAAGCCACCTCAATGTCGATAGCCCTTTTTGTAGGTGTGTTCAGTTTGGTTATTTTTCATTGTTAACTTCTAATTAACATGTTAATTTCTAATTTCATCGTTAACTTCTAAAAGAGAATGTGGACTGTACTATTTGTGCTCTTTGGAAATCTCGTATTAAGATTTTCTTTGTGGACAATTTTTGTGACTATTTGGTATGTGTTTGAAAGGACGTGTATTTGCTACTGGGAGGAAACAGAGTTTTCACTTGGGCCACTGCAATCTTCCAGTCTCTTCTACTAGATTTCTATTTTCGAGAATGGTGTGTGGAAGTTTCCTGCTATTTTGGGGGCAAATAGGTTCTCTGAGTTCTCTTAAGTTCTTTTTAATTTTTTTATTTTTTTATTTTTTTTAAATTATTTTATTTTATTTTTTTTTATTTGCGAGAGAGAGAATGAGAGACAGAGAGCATGAGAGGGAGGAGGGTCAGAGGGAGAAGCAGACTCCCTGCTGAGCAGGGAGCCTGATGTGGGACTCGATCCCGGGACTCCAGGATCATGACCTGAGCCGAAGGCAGTCGCTTAACCAACTGAGCCACCCAGGCGCCCTCTTAAGTTCTTTTTTAAAGTTTAAGTTCATCTAATACTTTCTTTTCTTTTAAGAACACAAATGTAAGGGCACCTGGGGAGCTCAGTCGGTTAAGCGACCGACTGTTGATACCAGCTCAGGTCTCGATCTCAGGGTCGTGAGTTTAAGGCCCCCCTTGGGCTACACGCTGGGTGCTGGGTGTGGAGCCTACTTAAAAAACAAAATGAAACTGGGGCGCCTGGGTGGCTCAGTCATTAAGCGTCTGCCTTCGGCTCAGGTCATGATCCCAGGGTCCTGGGATCAAGCCCCACATCGAGCTCCCTGCTCGGCGGGAAGCCTGCTTCTCCCTCTCCCACTCCCCCTGCTTGTATTCCTGCTCTCGCTATCTCTGTCTCTGTCAAATAAATAAAATCTTTAATAAATAAATAAATAAAATTAAAAAAAAACAAAATGAAACAAAACAAAACACAAATGTGGTTGTGTTGCTTGCTCCTCTGATCTGGTCTCCTTTTCTGGTTAATGTGCCATGGTATGTCATTTCCTGTTCCAAAGATTGTCATTTCTTGCCTCCTCCTTCATTCACTCTCTTACACAACCTTAAGCCCAAGAACACACTCAAGTATTTTAACAGTAGTTTCATTTACCTGAGAATATGTGCATACATTCTTCTTACCATATTACAGGAAAAGAGCAATTCTCTTTCCTCACTCCTTCACCCCCAAATTCTAGTTTTCTCCTTCATTCCCCAGAAGAAACTTTTGAATTTGTTAAGTCTCTTCCCAGAACCCTGTTACCTTTTTATTTTCTGCTTTTGCATATGTATCTGTAACCACTGAAAATTTCATTGTATTGCTTTGAATATTTTTTAAAAAGTAGATGTATTTTTTTATATTGCAACTGCTTTTTCTATGTTTTTTTTACTGTCATAATAACATGACTTGGAAAGCTATCGTTTTTATTTCAGAAGATGGAGGGCATTTTCTTAACTGCTGCACAATATTCTGTAGTGTGACTATACCTTAGTTTATTTAGCCATTTCTATGTTGATGGACATTAGGGATGTTTCCAGTTGTTCAGGGTTACACATTGTGTTGTGGTGACAGTCCGTGCACATATCCTGTTGAGTACACATGTGTTTCTTTTTTTTTTTTTTCTTTTCCTTCTATGGAACACTACATCAAAAACTAAACACGTGTGTTTCTAGGGAGTGTGATTTAGGGAATGAACTTGCTAGTTTGTCCCCTTATAGGTCCAGTAGGTTTTGTTTGCTACATTTTGAACATATGCTGTTAGGTGCTAGCCACATATTTAAGATGTCTTTTCTAAATAAAAGTATTTTTGTGATAATTGATTGCTTTGTGAAAGATTTAGGCTCTGCAGGCTTTGGGAATCCAGTGCAAAGTGTATCTGTCCAAAACACTTTCTTCTAGTTTCCAGAGTCAAGAAAACTTGTCTAAATAATGATGTAAATTCTAGATTAAAAGGGAGAAAAAGGGTTTTGTCCCATAATTCCAATTCTAAGAGAGAAATAATCAGAGATATGCACAGGATATGTGAAAAAGCTTTGCAATACAATATTATTTTTAAGAGTAAAGAAATTGAAAATTCCTTAAACTAAATTTTGCTATATCTGCATGCTGGAGATCAAGAAACATTAAAAATATGCCAAAGAAGAATATTTAATGGTGGGGTAAATATTCATTCTAAATATTAAGTGGGGAAAAAAAATAGGTGTATACACCTGGATAAGCAGCCTGATTCTGATTTTTATATAAATGTATCTTTGCGTGTATGTCTGATGTATGATATCTTGTGTGCATGTGTGTGTGTGTGTGTATGATAATGATAACTGTGACCATTTTATAATTTACTATATTCTCAATTTTCACGCACACAAAAAATACTGCTTCTACAATCAGAGTGGGTGCGGGGAGAGGGAAGGTGTTTTTAAAGGAAAAACTAAAAATTTCCTAGTCTTTCACAGTACTTTATAAAAAGATTAAAACTTAACCTTATTGTGCAAATAAAAAATATTTCTATTTTATTTAATTAATTAATTTTTAGAGAGAGAGTGGGAGTTGGGAGGAGCAGAGGGAGAGGGAAAGAGAGAATCTTTTTTTTTTTTTAATTTTTTTTTTTTAAAGATTTTATTTATTTATTTGAGAGAGAGAGAATGAGAGACAGAGAACATGAGAGGGAGGAGGGTCAGAGGGAGAAGCAGACTCCCTGCCGAGCTGGGAGCCCGATGCGGGACTCGATCCCGGGACTCCAGGATCATGACCTGAGCCAAAGGCAGTCGCTTAACCAACTGAGCCACCCAGGCGCCCCGGGAAAGAGAAAATCTTAAGCAGGCTCCATGCCCAGTGCAGAGTCCTATGCAGGGCTCGATCTCATGACCCTGAGATCATGACCTGAGCCGAAATCAAGAGTCAAATGCTTAACCCACTGAGCCACCCAGGAGCCCCCAAAATACTTCTATTTTAACATCAGATATAGAAAATACATGGGTCCTGGTTCACTTGATCATTATTTCAAGTGATAGAATCAGGATTTGTGTTTTCATCCAAGAATGTTAGTGCAGGGAGCTTAAGGACCTAGGAACTCATCCACTTTGCTTCCGGGAGGAAAGAGGTACAAACAGGTTAAGGTCATTTGAGGTTAAGGAAAGTGCCCAGGAGCACAGAGTCTGTGGGATCAAGGAAATGGTGGAGGTGGACAGGAAGTTAAAGGTTTTCTAGTTCAAGTTTCTCAAACTGCAGCCCTCCGGGACCACCTCCAAAGGTATGGGAGCATCTGAGTAAGGAGTCAACCAAGAGTTCTTCAACTTTACAGGGTTTGAAAAACACTACTTCCCAACGAATTTTCCACTGGGGAAACGGGAAACCAGGAGGGTGAGGAAAGTACTCAAGTGCCCAGTTCCTGTTGGGTCCCCACAGCCAGGATCTGTTTCCTTCTTTTGGGTTAACCCTCATTTGTTCATTAATTGCTGACCATCACTGCACATGCCTTACAGGACTTAGTCAAACACTTTAGAGGGTGGGTGTTCTGATCCCCATGTTACAGAGGGAGCACCTAACTCTCAGAGGACCTGAGCTGCCTAGGCCTGGGGCCAGTGCCCCAGACAGCTTCTATCTAAGTTTTGTCAGACCCTAACGCCCCCTACTCTGAACCACTGCACTTTCCCCCTCCCCGACAGTCAGCTGCAGGTGGCTTCCTGCCACTTCCTGCCGTTTATGATGATACTGCGGCCGTCTTATGAGCTGGGTCCCACACCTGCTCCTCTGAAGAATCCAGTACAAACCCTGCTCTGAGGGCTTGTTTTATCACCAACATGGGCCTATCAGAGCAGGGAGGAGGAGGGGTGACTCAGGGGCTCACGGGAGGAGGACCCCCAGATTCTGGGCTGTTTGCGTGAAGGTTGTCCGGGGTTTCCACAAACACTGCCCTCTCCTTTTCTATCTGCTCAAACATGTGAGTGTGTGAAAATATCACGTCATCTGATTTGGAGACTGTTTGAAATGGAAGGCTGACAAAGTTGACCTGGTTTCATTTCTGCATTGGAAGGCTGACAAAGTTGACTTCGTTTCATTTCCAGCTGTGGGTCCTTGGTCGGTTGTGGGGGCTGATCCCGAGGCCTTTGGGGGACGGCACTGCATCCTGTTTTCCTAGCACCATTGTTTCAGTCAGACGCCATCACTTCTCCAGCCTCCAGCCCTTCCAGTCTATCCTCCACACTTTTTTTTTTTTTTTGGATTTGATTTATTTGAGAAAGAGAGAGCGTGAGAGAGTGCATGAGTAGGGAGAGGGGCAGAAGGAGAAGCAGACTCCCCGAAGAGCAGGAAGCCCGACCAGGACCCTGAGATCGTGACTTGAGCCAACGGCAGATGCTTAACCCACTGAGCCACCCAGGCGCCCCTACCTGCCACACTTGAAATGTTAATCCCAAACTGGATGACATTACAGTCCTTTCTTAGTTCCCCATCACCTCTGGGACAAAACCTGAGCCCTTTCCCCCACAGTACGAGGCCCTTTGTAATGGTTCCAGGCCATGGCTTCATCCCTTTTCCCACCATTCCTCCTCCCAGACACTTCGTGGTTACTTTTTTGAGCTCCTTGTGGTTGCTTGAATTGACTTGAACATTCTTGCCTCCATCTTTTGCATAAATTATTTCCTGCAAGAATTGTCCTTTCCCACCTCCTTCCCTCCAGGAAGCCCTTCTCCCTGGTTGAGTTAGGGTTCCTTCCTCTATATTCCTACGGTGCCCTGGTCACAACTCTCTGACTATTGGCTAATTTGTGTATCTACCTTCCAAAATAGTGAGCTAGTTGAGAGCAGAAACGTGTCCTGTTTGTTTTTTTCTTCCCTGTGTCCTCAGTAAAATGTCTAGAGTATAGTAGATAACAGCACTTAATGACGGAACTGGTAAATGGTACTTCTCTTCCTCATCTGAACATAATATTGTATTTTGACCTAGGCTACGACGACACTCTCCTGATTCTTGACCAACATGAATTTCAGCAAATGCCTCTATAATATTGGAGAGCAGCTGGACAGTGATGAGCTGGCCTCCCTCAAATTCCTTAGCATGGACTACATCCCACAGAAAAAGCAGGAACCCATCAAGGATCCCTTGATGTTATTCCAGAGACTCCAGGAAAAGAGAATGTTGGAGGAAAGCAACCTGTCCTTCTTGAAGGAGCTGCTTTTCCGAATTAATAGACTGGATCTGCTGGTCACCTACCTGGACACCAGCAAAGAGGAGATGGAGCAGGAACTTCAGATACCAGGCAGAGCCCAGATCTCTGCCTACAGGTGGGGACAGCCTCCACAGTGCAGGCACTGGGAGGTGCGGGTGCAATGGACACATCTTCGTGGGTAGGGCTGATTGCGGGTGTCTGTGTCGTATGACTTTGGAAGTTCCTCGAAGATGTTCCACCAGGGCCAGATTAAGGAATTTAGAGATCTTATATATAATTCAGAAAAAAAGTTAAACCATAAAATAAAAAATTTGTTTCCAAAGTGAAATAGGACCTGTAGGTATGCTGATATTAAAACAGCCATCTTCTGAATTGTCTCTCTCCCTGTTCTGTCTCCTCTTCTGTTTGCCTCTGCTCTGTTGATGTCCACGTCCTGTGCTTACTTTGCCCATTACTGGATAAAGCATCCCTGCTGCTTCTCCGAAATCCCCCTCCCACCTGCATGTGGTTGACTGTGGACGTTCTCAGTGGGGTTCTAGGCTTTTACTCCACCCTGAAAGACTTGCTTCATAAGGTTCTCCAATGGGGGCTGTGTGCTGCCCGTCGTGCTGGGCCGGCCAGACTGGGCCCCACAAAGACTGCCGAGCCCCTGTGTGGACAGTGGCGACCTCAGTCGTCTGTCCAGCCTCTGCCTTGCACCTGGGCCTCTCCCTGCCTGTGGGGCAGCGGGACCCAGGGCTGATAACAAGCCATGTTCTCTTACGTCTTCACGAGTCGGTAACAGACTTTTGTGTGTGTGTGCAAAATGGTGATTTTATTAAAACACGGGCAGAAAGAGCAGCACCAGGGTTGTGAGGGATGACTGATTATATAGGTAACAGACTTTAAAAACAGGCACACATTACCAACTTCTGTCTTTCAACATGCCCTATTACCAGATGCTCCTCAGCGTTATTTTTAGCTTCCCTTCTGAAAACTTCTACTCCAGCCTTAGCTGTGATGCATTTCACGGCCTCTTCTCTCTTGTTAGTAATGATGGCGAGTGTGATGGTACGTTCTCACTATCCCCTACTAGCCTGGCCTATTTATGAATGCCCTGGTCCTCAGTCTCAGAGACCTGAGATTCTGGCACGTTCCCTACCATATCTTTCTCTGCTCGAAGCTTGAGCATTTTGATAAGTGACAAAAGAGATATGCTGGGTGTATGAGTTTCCGAAGGCTGCTGTGGAAGTCCCACAAACTGGGTGGCTTACCACAGTAAAGACATTCATACTCTCACAGTTCTGGGGGCTAGAAGTTTGAAATGAAGGTGTCAACAGGGTTGGTTCCTTTGGAGCTCTGAGGGAGAGTCTGTTTCATGTTCCTTCCTCCCCTAGCTTCAGGTGTTTGCAGGCAATCCTTGGTCTTCCTCATCTTTTCGATGCATCACTCCAATCTCCTCTCTGTGCCTGTTTTTCTGAATTTCCTCTTCTTGGAAAGCCACCAGTTGTTGGACTAGGGCCAACCCTGATCTAGTGTGACCTTATCTTAACAAGATTATATCATCAAAGATCCTTTTCCCAAATAAAGTCACATTCATCCATCCAGGGTGGACATGAATTGGGGAGGAGAGTCGGGGAGGACATCATTCAATACTGGATAACTTTGTTTTAATGGGACTGTGACATCTTCCTAATGATTTTTTTTTCATTAAGGCAGCAATTAATCTTAAAAAAACAACAACCCTAGAACCAGGAGGGTCTTATCTTGTGCCCACCATCTTGGTCTTCTGAAGGTTGCTCTCCTTCTGTCATGTAAGCAAGGCTAAGGCAAATTGTCAATGTCAGACAGTGACCTGTACTTCTCTGGTGGAAGGCTGAGTCCCAAACAAGGGAGGATCTGTCTGTCAAATCTTTTTTTTTTTTTTTAAAGATTTTATTTATTTATTTGTCAGAGAGAGAGAGAGAGAGAGTGAGAACACAAGAAGGAGAAACAGCAGGGAGAGGGAGAAGCAGGCTCCCCGCTGAGCAGGGAGCCTGATGCGGGGCTCGATCCCAGGACCCTGAGATCATGACCTGAGCCAAAGGCAGCTGCCTAACCGACTGAGCCACCGAGGCGTCCCTGTCTGTTAAATCTTTAACACGTTAGCTAGGGAACAAAAGGGTCAGCACAAATACAATCTACTGTTCATCATTGTTGGATATTAGCCAGGAAATAAAAAGTATGCTAGAGTGGCCACTTTCCATTTACAAGAAAGCACTAGACATTTTTATTTTCAAATTATAATTGCTGCCTATAAAATCAGTATCTTATAAACTACCCAGGTTTATTTCTAGACAGTGACGGTACAAGAAAGCCAGCAGATTTTAGTAATGAGGAAAGTAAGAGGGCAAAACACCTTATAAGAAAGATAAAAGGGCCGGTAACTTTTGACTGGACCCAATCTTGGCCAAACTGAGAAAACTTTGGAGAAATACTTCTAGGGTAGAGATTCCAGGAGAGGAAGGATGAAATAGATGATAATCCTGAGAAACTTCTGTTTGTACACTATTTTTATTTTCAGAACTTTAATTTTCTAATTTAATTTGAAGTTAGCATGTTTTTGTGTTATTTTCCTTTACACCACAATGGTGAAAGGTTTGCTGACTTATTAAACATTCCTTTGTTCCTTCAACAGACATATCCCAAGAACCTCTCATGGATTAGGAAATAATAATGCCTGTTGTGTATCGAACACTCGATGTATTGCCAAAGATTGGTTTAAGCACTTCAGATAAATTTATTCGTATTATTCTTAATATGTCCCAATGGTATATTGTATCATGTACAAGTTTACAGATGAGGGGAAAAAGTGTACAACACGTCTACAGTCACACAGTTCTTAGATGATGGAACCAAAGTTCCAATGCCAGTAGCCCAGGTCCTCTGCACTTAACCTCTGCACCTCATGACCCACCGGGCTTATGGAAACAGAAAGGGCACAGACCTTGCTCTCAGGGGACTCAGAGGGCTTTGTAAGCAGACAGTTATAACATGTGTGTAAACTTTCTGGCGATACAAAGGCACAGTGTGGTGAATGCAGCCTTGAGGACACTCAGGCAGTACTTGAGCTGTTAGTGGGTGAATCTGTGTCTGCAGATGGGACAAGGGAATGGGGGTGTGAGCAGCACAGCATACAGGGGTGGGGGCAGGGCAGCTGCGTGTGTTTGGAGAGGAGATGGGGGCAGGTGCTGAGGAGTGGCTAGAGAAGCTGAAGAGGTAGGCTGGGCTCAGTGCACAAAGGTTTGTATTCCAGAACCAAGTGTGGGGCCTTCCTACTGACGTTGATGGCCAGGAGAGCACTAACAAGTTTTAATTTAGGAAGTGATGATCCAGGGCACCTGGGTGGCTCAGTCAGTTAAGTGTCTGCCTTCGGCTCAGGTCATGATCCTGGCGACCTGGGATCAGCCCCGCGTTGGGCTCGTTGCTTAGTGGGGAGCCTGTTTCTCCCTCTCCCTCTGCCTGCAGCTCCCCCTGCTTGTGCACACACTCTCTCTCAAATAAATAAATAAATCTTTTAAAAAGACCAGGAGGTGATGATCCAGTTTGCATTTTGAAAAGCATAATTTCCACAATAAAAACTTTTTTTTTTTTTTCCTACTGCAACACGCTCCTGATTTTATAGTGAAGGAACAAGGAAAAACACAATTCATTTAACTGAAACTAACTGAACGGCATAGTTAGCGGACCTTAACTCTGTTAAGGGTGGAGTAGCTGGGCATGAGTCAGTAGTCTGTCATGTCACTGCAGCAGCCTCTCTGCGAAGATTCAACTCATAAATTATGTCATTAGCTGTCTTTCATTTAAGGGGAGGTGACCAGAATCAAGTGTCCACTGCCACTCCTTTTATCAAATGGGAAATTATTTGAGAAACCATTTCTAAAGTGTCTCCATTTCCCACCACAGGGTCATGCTTTTTCAGATTTCAGAAGATGTAAGCAAATTGGAATTGAGGTCCTTTAAGTTTCTTTTGAGCCAGGAGATCTCCAGATGTAAACTGCATGATGATTTGGTAAGACCTGGTGTTTCACCAAGATTTGGTCCTGAGGTTGAGTTAGCCGGTGGGGATTGCTGCGACTGGAGAGAGGGCTGGTCCAGTAAAAGCAACCTGGACTCTCACTTTTCAACCAGGGGAGAAGAAAAGAGTGGTTGGACAGACAGCAGCGTTGCAGATACGGTTCCTTCGTATACTGAGAAGTGCTGCTCACATTGTCAGGAGCATGGCAGGGTCAGTAGCGAGGGGAAGAAGACTGGTTGTGGAGGCACAGCCCGTTGCGGGGCCCTGCAGAGCCAGGCAAGACAGTGGTGAGCTGGAGACATCTCCAGCTTCTGCAGCTTCTGCAACCACCTGGGACCTGGAACTCTGTGCGTGTGCGTGCATGCGTGCAGACTCTGTGCGTGCGTGCGTCCGGACTGGACGTGGATCACGTGCCAGAGGCAGTGTCGGGAGAGATGCAGTCCCCAGGGCTGTCACTCTGGGGACCAGGCTACAGTTGTCTCAACCATGCACCTGGGCTATTTCACAGACGTCCCCTAAAGGTGTCCCCGGTGGTTGCAGCACAGGGCTTGGGGGCTGGGGCCTGGGTGACACCTGATGTCACTTTTCCTCTACCTTCTCATTTCTCTCTTCCTGGGCCAGAAAAGACAAAATTGCTTCTCCGGTGCTCTATTGGCTTTATAAGACCAGGATATCCTGTCAGGAGGGTCAGCTTGGGAAGCTAGGGTGGGCCCTCTCTTTGGACAAAGTGGACTTAAAAAAAAAAAGAAAATCTCATCTAAAAGCCGGTATGCCTCAATCCAGTCTTCCAACTTTATTTCTCTTCCTTCTAGAACTTGCTTGATATTTTCATAGAGATGGAGAAGAGGGTCATCCTCGGGGAAAGAAATTTGGACACCCTGAAAAGAATCTGTGACCAAATTAACAAGAGCCTGCTGAAGAAAATCACGGATTATGAAGAATTAAGCAGAGGTAGAAATAACTTGACAGCTGTGAATTAGCAAAATGTATTCTTAAATTGACAAATCCCTCTATGTCGAGATTGTTTCTAATCAAATATGTGTTTGTTTTTTAATTCAGAGCAAACAATGAGCCCTCAAAGAAGTCTAGATGAAGTTTCAAATGGTAATTTGCGAAATACGTATTTAAGACTTATTCAGTTAATTTACTATCAGATACCCCCATTGCCTCCTCTCCCCACAACCTTCTCACACATCCCCATCTTAATGGTCTTGCTCTCCTAAAATCAAGAAGGCTCCGTGCCTACTTGTCACCTTCTTTACACATTGAAAGATACACACCTGCTGTCAAAAGACATAGACCTTGCAGCCCCAGGCTGACAAGTTTAAAATAGGTGAAGAGTCAGTCAGTAAAAAGATTTTTGTTCTGTGGACTGCAAGGATATTATGTTCAAGGCAGTCTGTGAGTTTTCATTTTAAAGGGGACCTTATGATATCCTGGGTGCTCTGTGTTTCTTTACCAAAATCCCTTCTCTGCTATGTTTCATTCCAGATATGTCTCAGTTGCTTGTAGGGGAGGAATCCCTGAGGGCACTGCCAATGTCAGACTCTCCAGGAGAACAGGACTATGAATCAGAGGTGTGTAGAAATTTGGACTCCTTTTTCTTTTTAGTTGCTCATTCTAGTTCTTGCATTCCTCAGCTTTTAAGCGGTCAGATAAACTAGTAAGGGGCAGATGCTTACTGGAAATTTGGAGAACTATAGAAAATTTTCAGAAACAGACAAATTTAAAATGTGATTTTTTAAGTTTCAAAAGTAAAAAAAGTGTTAAAATTTTTTATTTTATTTTTTAGATTTATTTATTTGTTTGAGAGAGTGAGAGAGAGAGCGAGCACATGTGAGCAGGGGAGGGGCAGAGGAAGAGGGAGAGAGAGAATCCTAAGCAGACTCCTCGCTGAGTGCAGAGGCTGATGTGGGGCTCCATGCGGGGCCCAATCCCATGACTTGAGCACAAATCAAGAGTCAGATGTGTAACCAACGGCACCACCCAGGCACCCCTAAAATTTTATTTTAAAACCAAAGACAAAGGCACTGGAATAGTTGGAGGGCCGAGAAAGCAAGAAGCCTCCTGGCAACCCTTTCAGCAGCTGCCTCAGCCGAAGTGGGAGAAGGCTTTGGGAGAAAACTCTAGCAGGCCTGGGAAAAGCAAAGCCTTTTCTTTTAGGCTGACATTTCAAAACTGTTTCTCCACGGTGATTTAGGGGTAAGCAGCAAAGGCTCATGATCTAGCCATCTCTATGTTCTCATCTCAATGAGCCAGTGCAAGAATTGCCTTTCTAGATAATCACTTTAGTTTATTAACCTTCAAAGATTCACCAGCCACATTCTGATTCATTAGCCTGTTCACTCCTCTCTGTGATGGGAAGCAGAGGAAACCCTGAATGCTATCAGTCCAGTGGGAGACTTGAAATTAAGCTGAGAGAGACCAGTTACAGGTGGGCTCCTGAGCAAATTACCAGACCTCTCTAGGTCTGAAAACCAAGGATTTGCCAAAGTCATGTGGCACTTTGCAAATAGCAAAGCACTCTACTGAGTGTCGTCCCCACTGAACAGCTAACTGTACTGAGTGCCAGAGAGATTAGGTAACTTGCACAGAGTCTTAAGGTTATTACGTAGTAGAGCCAGGAATTTGAGCCCTTAGCGCAGAGCACTTTTCTCTACCTTGAGGAGCTGCATGGATTTCCCAACAAATGCTGAGTATCTTGGCACTGAAACAGCCCCGGGAAAGTCAGGATGCAGGGCTGTCTCTGACTGATACTGTCAGGTACGAGAGTCTGGATACTGTAACCTGCAACATAGCCAAGACCTGCCTGACTAGTCCGTCTCTCTCCTCCAGGCCCTGTGGTCCTGAGAGCCAAATTAAGTCGTCGGCTTTCAAAGTCCTGGGACCATGCTATGTCCTGTGTGAAGGGCCGGCCCTCAGCTGTTAGCCCAGAAAAATAGATGAGTTGACTAGATGGCCAACAGAATAACAAGGTGACAGACAGGCAGCCCAAAGACAGCATGAAGACATTCATTCATTCAGCAACTCCTGATTGAGCTCTCACAAATTAATAAATTCTAGTTCCTGCTGCAAATGTTAGCTGCCTTGAGCAGAAACAAGAACATATGAAAATATGTTATGATGACGACAGTATTAATAGATGTGCAAAGTGCTCAAGAGGCCCAAGTACTGGGACCCTGATTTTACATACTAACTGTGGGGCAGAAGTCTGGGGATCCTGCGGCAAGGGAACGGGTGGAAACTGGTTCACCAGAGAAATGACGTCAAGTTGAGGGAGGGCTGGTGAAAGGACCCTTGCATCCCAGTTTGGCTAAGGGGACAGCCCAACTTCTTACTAGGGAGTTGTTTGTTCACATCTCAAGTGTTTGACCCTCAGAGTCAGCTCCTGGGTTGGATTTTTGTCTTCCAGGCATCGGAGAAAGTTTACCGAATGGAAAGCAAACCTCGAGGATATTGTGTGATCTTTAACAATTATGACTTTAGCATAGCACGGAAGGAAGTACCCAAACTTCAGAACATTAAGGATAGGAATGGAACAGACTTGGATGCAGGTACAGTAGAACCCTGAAAAGAAGTGAAATATTTCTAATACCTAAGTTTTTTTATCAAAAGGAGAGAACAAAAATTGTACCAATAGGGCCTCATGTTTCAGGAAAAAAAATGGATAAAACCATATTTCCTTGTGGAAATGAAGAACATTTTTATATATTTGCTAATTTTCTGCTTTTGTTTTTTTAAATTAATTTTTTAATCAAAGTAATGTATATAAGATAAAATATCAAATCTTACTAAAAGGCTTATAGTAAAAAGCAACAACAATAAGCTTTGCTTTTAATTCAACTTAATGAATAGTGCTTCTGTAGAATGTATTAAGTATTAGGTGAAAACATTGCCTTGGGATCAAGACCACATATTGTAATTATAAAAGTTGGGCAGATGAAATTGTGAGTCTTTAATAGAAATACCATTGTCAAATATTAAACTAGCCAGAAATTCTTTTGCTCAGCCTCTTTAGGAGGAGCAACTTAAAAGAGAACTTATAAGAACTTACAAGTTAAATGAAAACTTGTGAGAACTTATAATTTAAATGAAAAAATAATTTTCAGTGTGTGAACATAGAAATGGCTACTACATAGAATACTACATAGAAATAATCCAACTCATCCAATATATTTTTGAAAATGGTGTTTATGAGTCATAACATCAGGTAATGCCTTATTTTTTTAACTGAATAAAGTTTAGAAAATTAATGTAGGTTGATTTTAATCATCAAGACTCTGCTAATGGTCTCTTAACACATATTCAAGCAAATCTATTCTAAGATTTCAAAAGCCACAGAGCTTTAAGTCCATTGGCTATATCACTCAACATCATATACCTTGGTCTTGAAGAAGAGAATTCAGGCCTTTGATTTCCATTCATTTACTATCAAAACATTTTTTTTTTGTAGAGAGGGAGAGAGCACAAGCATGGGGAGGGGCAGAGGGAGAGGAACAGAGAGAATCTTAAGCAGGCTCCACACCCAGTGCGGAGCCCATTGCAGGGCTCCATGTCATGACCCTGGCATCATGACCTGAGCTGAAATCAAGAGTTGGACATTTATGGGGGCGCCTGGGTGGCTCAGTCATTAAGCGTTTGCCTTCAGCTCAGGTCATGATCCCAGGGTCCTGGGTTCGAGCCCTGCATCGGGCTCCCTGCTCAGCGGGAAGCCTGCCTCTCCCTCTCCTACTCCCCCTGCTTGTGTTCCCTCTCTCGCTGTGTCTCTGTCAAATAAATAAATAAAATCTTAAAAAAAAAAAGAGTTGAACATTTAACTGACCGAACCACCCAAGTGCCCCACTATCAAAACATTTTTATTAAAATAATATTTGATTGAATTTCTGTCCTTTGGTCAAAGGGTAGGTACAAAGTTGCAGATATGTAACTTATTTAGAGATCTAATGAATGACATAATGACTATAGTTAATAATACTGTATTGAATACTAGAAATATGCTAAGAGAGTGTATTGCAGGTGCTCTCATCACACATACACACACACAAAAGGAATTAAGTATGTGAGGAGATATGTTATTAGCTTGACTGTGATAATTACTTCACTGTGTATATAATCAGTTTTATGCCTTAAGTATATACAATTTTTAGTTAAAAAAAAATCAGGCACCCTGAAAATGTTGAAAGACTTTGACTAGATCTTAGAGAACTTGGACAAAAAATAAGGTTATGCATATGGAAAACAAAGCAGTGAAAAAATAATGCAATTACTAATTCCAGGAAAGACAAAAAATTTAATAAAAAAGGAAACATAATTAAAGAATATTGTTTACATACTACTGTTGATTCGATTAAAAGTTGTAAATAACTGTATAAGAGCATCAAATGCTCATCCTCCATAATAAGAGCTCAATACAAAGTCTAAAATTTATAAGTAAATAAATAGCAAAGAGGTCAAATTCATTACAAAATGGAGGTGAATACCAAAAAATAGTTGTAAAAAGTTGAAAGTGGTTGCCTTCATGGAACATGACTGGGTAATAGGGAGAGTTAGAGAAGGGATAGCTTTTTGTAATAGACCTTTTAGTTCTACTTGATTTTTTAAACATTCATATCTTGTATTTTTCTTAAAAGATTTATTTATTTGAGAGAGCAAGTGCGAGTGGGGGGGGAGGAGAAGAGGGAAAGGGACAAGCAGACTCCATGCTGAGCGTGGAGCCTGACATGGGGCTCAATCTTCACGACCCTGAGATCATGACCTGAGCCAAAATCAAGAGTCAGACACTCAACCGACCGAGCCACCCAGGCGCCCCTCATATTTTGTATTTTGATAAACAAATTTGAGTGTTCAAGATAAAATAAGTATGAAGCTTCTATTAAAATTTTTTTTTTGCTTTTTATTTTGATTATGTAAGTAATACAATCATTATTTAGATTGGTTTGGTAGTAAGCCTAAATAATAGCTTACCCATCTTATAGACTAGTTGAAGACAGAAGGCCAACAATAGCACTCTCCCCTTTCTCATTTGCCTCAGGACTGGAAGTGTTTTCAGCTGGGGGCAATAAATATTAGAAAACTATGTAATTCGGCCAGTGATATAAAGGGTCTTGTTCTTCAGTTCTGGTTCAGATTCTTTGTACTCTAGCATCTCTCTCTCTCTCTCTCTCTCTGTCATCTATCTATTTGACAGAGAGAGAGAGAGACAGTGAGAGAGGGAACACAAGCAGGGGGAGTGGGAGAGAGGGAAGCAGGCTTCCCGCTGAGCAGGGAGCCCGATGCGGGGCTCGATCCCAAGAACCCGGGATCATGACCTGAGCAGAAGGCAGACACTTAGCGACGGAGCCACCCAGGCGCCCTCTGGTTCAGATTCTTAATCTGATCAGTGTTCTCTCTAGCTCTGGACTGTGGTTTGGGGCTTATTCTGGTGTAATATGACTTTTCTTGTTTCACTTTTCAGATGCTTTGTGTCAGACCTTTAGTGAGCTTCATTTTGAGATCGTGCCTTTCAGAGACTCTACAGCCATGAAAATCTGTGAGGTTCTGAAATCCTACCAAAGCATGGACCACACTAGCAGGGATTGCTTTATCTGCTGTGTCCTCTCCCATGGAGACAAGGGCATCATCTATGGCTCTGATGGGCGGGAAGTCCCCATCTATGAGCTGACCTCTTACTTCACTGGCTCAAAGTGCCCTTCCCTTGCAGGCAAGCCCAAAATCTTTTTTATTCAGGCTTGTCAAGGGGATAACTACCAGAAAGGTATAGCTGTTGAGACTGACTCCGAACAGAAGGAAGCCTATTTAGAAATGGACTCGTCACGGCAGAAGAGATATATCCCAGAAGATGCTGACTTTCTGCTGGGGATGGCCACTGTGAACAATTGTGTTTCCTACCGAAACCCCATGGAGGGGACCTGGTATATCCAGTCACTTTGCCAGAGCCTAAGAGAAAGATGTCCTAGGTAATTTTTGCCTACTCTGCCCTTCATTCGTTTCTAAATGTCTAGTTATGGATGACATAGCTGTACTTCCCAGGTCAGTTGCAAAGTGGGAGAGGGGGGCAAGCGTTAACATCGTTAGTTCATAGAGACACTTAAAGCAGAGTTTCTTTTATTTAGTGCCTGAAAGGACAGTCGGGGTATCATAAAGCAGGGAGTGATGGTAAAGTCAGTTCAGCTCTGTTTTTAGGCAGAAACATGACTCAGCCAACTCAACTAGTTTTGGAAGTCTTCCAACAAGGTAATAACCCATTTCAATGGTTAACATCCTCCAGCTCTGTTAAAGTTCTATCATAGCTAATCAACCCTCTTGGTGTGTTGTGGGAGAGAAGTACCAAAGAGTAGAAACCCTTTATATTCCCACTAATTTGGCCTGATGTGAAGCTACAAAATGTGGGAAAATATCCCTCCCTCATTTATTATACCCTATGCCTCCTTTAGTTAAATGATGGTTTTGTAGTCATAGTTCACCCAAATGCACACATAACTGACAGGTGAATAGCGAGAAATCTTCTAGCTCTATATCTCATCATGCTTTAAGTGTATGAAGAGTAAGAATTTCCCATGGCAGATCAAGGAGTGAAACATAACATCAACAACATGTTTTCCTTTTGTAACTTAGACCACGAGTCCTACAGAGGCTGGTGAGAAAGGGGTGGAGTGGTTGCAGGAGACATTGGGTTTTCCCTTGCCCAAAGTGATTGTAGATGATCACAGAAGCAAAGGATGTTTTTTTTGGGGGGGGGCATTGAGGTGATTATGGGGGCAAGAGGCATAGTACGTGGAAGAGTAAGGTACAAACAGATCAGGAGGGAAGGAACCCAAATCTGATGTTGACTCTGAGGTTTCTGATGATCAGTAGAGATCTTGAGTAAACCAAAGGTAAGTTATTAAGCTCTGAAACTACTCCTTTTCCTAGAAAGCTTTGACACATCTTAGTTTATCAGCTTATGATTTCAAATGCCTGGCATTTTGAAGGAAGGAACTGTCACTAACTAAGAGCAGATGAAAGGGTTTGCTGGTATTGTTTCCCCACAGATGGTCACAGTGTTGTTGTTTTTCAGGGGTGAAGATATTCTCACCATCCTTACCGAGGTGAACTTTGAAGTGAGCAATAAGGATGACAGAAAAAACATGGGGAAGCAAATGCCACAACCTACTTTCACACTGAGGAAAAAACTCTTCTTCCCTCCTAATTGATGCTACTGTTTAGCTGTATAACACTATGCTTAATTTATTTGTTAGTAGAATGCTGCTATTTGCCTTTTTTTTTTTTTTTTTCTTTTGGATGGCAGGAAGGGGAGAGAATCGGAGTCAGGACAAACTAATTCCTGTGCAAATTTAAGCCTAAATCTCTGGCTTTGCAGTAATAGCTAGAGATTTATAGCCCTAGGTAGGATTTTAATTTTATTTTTGATTCGATGAAAAAGTTTTTAAAACACTGAGAGTAGATAAGAAAATATAGAAAGTTTAAAAGAAATGTAACATCATAAATTTAGGTTCAAAAACGGTGTCAGAATGAATGTTCTTTGCACATCTCTCATCTGCTTCCAGCCTGGAATAATTTGATTCCCTTCAAATTGTTAAGTATTTAAAAAAAAGTTAAGGATATCATGTGAAGGCTTTAACCTGGAACACAGAATTAATGGTAGTGCAGAGATTTTTTTTTTTTTTAAAGATTTTATTTATTTGAGACAGAGAGAATGAGAGAGAGAGA